CAGTTTGTGGTTCTACCAGAAAACATGTACAATGATCGAGCCTCAACAGCAATCACGAAAAATTTCAAACGGGTAGAAGTGGACACCAAGAAAACTCGGGATGCAGCAAAGCGTCTTTGTGAACGTCTGTCTCTAACTCAGTTAGCAGCGAGAATCGGGAAGGTTGACAAGTTTCATCTTGAAGTCTTCTTCTCAGTAAAGACGCATAAAGAAGGAAGCCCATTTAGAGCGATTGTCACTGAAAAGGGTTCCTGGCAAAGACAAGTCGCGTCCTATCTCCAAAAACATCTGTCATCTTTAAAAATACAGGACCCCTTCAAAGTAGTGAATTCTGAGGAAATCGTCGAATTTCTCCGGTTAAAGAGCAATGAGATCGGTACGGCCTTCAGTATAGATGTGGAGAACCTGTTTTACTCATTGCCACATGCACAATTATTGGAGTCTGTGAAGACATGTATTGAAGCCAATGGAGAGCTCTCCTTCAGAGGCTCATGTGGAATTTCAACGGAGAGCTTTTTAGAGCTTTTATATTTTTATCTAACGTCCATGATTGTTGGGTGGCGAGATGGGTGCTATGTACAAAAGTCAGGAGTTTGTATTGGCTCCTGTGTAGCCCCAGTCCTCAGTGACATTTATCTGGGAGCTGTAAACTGTGCCATTGAAAGGGAGCTTGGAAGTCGAGGAGTTAACAAGGTAGCCCGCTATGTGGATGACTTCCTGGTTGTTCTTCAAGATAACACCGATGTGCACACACAGGTGACCAATATTTTGGCGACCTTCACTGAGTATGGAGGGGGCCTCAGGTTCACGTATGAGGTCCCTCAAGAAAACGTTCTCCAGTTTTCAGACCTTTCGCTTCACTTAGGTGATACGCATGTGTGCTGGACGTACTCTCCACGCTCCAAGAAACGAATTTTGGATTTCAGTTCGGCTCACTCTAAGATCGTCAAGAGGGGCATTGCTCTGACATGTTTGGGATTCGCGCTCAAGAAATCATGTTGCCACACAATGGAAGCCAGCTTCTCGATGCAGGTTGAAAGACTCAGAAAAGCCAGCTATCCGTTACCACTACTGGCTAATGTAGCGGACACCTTGTTGAAAAGGGCAAAAGGCCTCCAAGCCAACAAACAAGATGTAGGAAAGACAAGACCGGTGGTAATCCCGTACCTTCACAAGACGTCACACAATTTAAAGAACGTGGCAAGTCGGTATGGGGTCCGAGTGGTATTTTCAGCCCCGCAAAAAATGAGCAAAATTTGCTCCATAGTCAACTCGCAAGCCGAAGGTGCCACAAGACACAGGTGCGCAAAAAAACATGCTAAACCTTTTGTTCCGTGCACTTCAGGCGTGGTATACAAGATTCCACTCTCGTGCGGCAAGATCTACGTAGGTCAAACAGGCAGGTGTCTTAATGACCGACTTCGCGAGCATGATTATTCTTTGAGAGCCACAGTGGGAGGCCATCTTGCAACACATTGCAAAGAGTGCAATTGTAATCCGCTGTTCGGGGAAACAATAACCCTAGAGAGGCACAAGGATAAAATGACCCGCGAGGTGGTAGAAGCCTTCTACATCATATCCGCAGCTACTAAATGCATTAGTGTTGCATCGGTGGCCTTAACACGCAAGGAGACAGACTTTTTAACACAGACAATGCAGAACTCGCATGAGTCACGGGTGCCGCGAGACATCAGGCACGACGACCCAGCGGCAGCCGACCATGGATGATGTGTTCGTCTTCCCCTCTGACACGGGTGACCAGGCGCGAGCGAAGACTGATGCAAACACACCCTGCACCACGACAACGAAGGCACAGCCAGCAAAGGTTTTAGGGTTTAATCAAAGAACCAGTGTATCAAGCCTGTGCGCGCGAGGGAACACCCGACTTTGTGTTTTACATTCCTGTTTTATATTTCTGCTTCCTCTTCTTCCTTTGTCATCTTTATGGGGAGCTGGACGATGTTCTTTCTTTTCTTCATCTTTGTAAATACAGTTGTGAGTAGCGCTCTTTTCTGTCCCTTCTCTCTTCCTCATACGTGTGCGCTAATGCCGTTAATATGTCGGGTAATTCTACAATTATAAGCAGTCAAACAATGGATGTCTCGTGTAGCACAGCATGAAGTTTGTGTCTCGCAAAAAGGGGACAGTCTACAAGATCCTATTCTCCTGCAGACACCGTAGATAAGACAGACAAGGAGATGCTTAAACAACCGACTTTGCGAGCATCATAGTTTGTTAATAGGTGGAGCATACTCGCATTTAGCGCTGCGTTTCCATGACTGCGAACCACCACAGTTCAGAGACACAAATGTTGTATATAAACACGAAGCTCAGTTGTCTAGGGAGATAGTTGAAGCCTATCATAAAGCAAAAAGAAAACTGTGTGCACGAGCCAGCCATCTCTGAACCTCAGAAACAGTGAACCTTGGATAACTTTTTATTTGAAGAAACAAGAAAGAGCTGACCACAGGCAGAGTAAAAGAAAAGCAAGACCTATACCCAATGTGAAAAAGAGTGTTTTTCAAAATAAAAAAAGTTGTCCTGTGTGTTCTCTCCTCTTTGTATTTTCGTACAGTTTTTCGTTGTGAATACACACCAACTAGCCCGACTGTCCATTCTAGTATGCATTCTTTTTTTTTCCCTTCTTCCCGCGCTCGTGGTGAGCTTCGAAACGTTTGTACCCTATCGTCTTCCTATGTACACTGGAACCTCGACCATGCGTCTCCAGTTTATGTGACATCCCGCATTTTACGATGAATTTGCCCGGTCTTGACGGGCTCCCCGTAGAAGTAGTGTATTAAAAGTTCAGTTTACACGACACGTGACTCTACGCGTCCTGTGTCATACGACGTTCCGTCGGGAAACGCACGACGAATTCGACGGTGCGGCTATGCGAAAGACGCCTGCACGTTGTTTCAGAGGGTCCAAAAACAGGCCGCCGGCAACCCGAGCCAGCCGCAGCGGCGGAAGGGAGCAGGAGGCGGCAGTTTCCCTTCTCCCCGGGCTGTGAAATGCCCGGGCGTTTTCGCGTTGCTCCGCTCATCCCATTGTTCTCTCGTTTCCCCTCGCTGTCCTCTGCGTGCCACTTTCTCCAACTACTAGTTGCTTCTCCCAGGATTGAGCAGGCTTCCGCTGGTTCCCGCTTTCGGAAAGCGTTCTTGCTTTCGGAAGCTTGTGGCCTTGGAAAGGAAGCGGATGTTGCGCGATCGAGAGAAAGTCCAGCAGGCGATTGCTGATTTCTTTTGACATGAGAATCGAGTTAGTCACGTCTTGTAGGAATTCGCGTACCGCCGCCGATTCGCCGTTTCCCATGTGGTCCGTCAACAACCCGAGTCCAGCCTGTTTTTTTCACGGGAGCGGGATTCCGCTCCTAGTTTATTGGTACAATAACACACAACGCTACAAAACACTCAATCTAAAATACAAATACAAGCTACATTACACAAATATTTACAGACGCACGGTAAGCCAAAAGCTAACACAAAGAAGGTCCCCAGGCCTCGCGTCCCGCGATATCCTAGATCCGGTCGCCACCCACTTGCCTGCCAGTGCCTGCGTCTCGGTCTCGTCCGAAGTTCTTAGAGGCCTCTCGCCCCCTGCTCCATTGAGTATATATCGATCGATGGGCGAGAAGGTTTCTCCTCGCCCGCCACCCTCCAGTGGCTAGGAGAGAAAGCGGCGCGTCGGGAGCCGAATTCAAGATCCTGATCGACCCCGCGGCGACACGACCATGTGATCGTGTCTGAGGCGAGGCAGCTACGTAGCTGCCTGGCGGCCCAGATTGGCAGAATGGTTTGATGGGCGCCCTCGGGAATGCACGGTGCGCCATAGTCTTTACCGCAGAACTGTACAATTTTGTTTTAATTTATTTTGAATGTTTTTGCTTCGTTAAAGTACAGCACATTATTAGCTTAGACATCATTTAAAACCTCCACTTGTCTTTTTCGCATCAGGCCAATCACTGTATCCGTAATTATTGTTTTTTCCGGATTATATGACGATTTCACACGGTCCCGCAAAAGTCGTATAATCGGGGTTCCGCTGTTGATGTATCATGACCACACAAGTTCATGTGTCTGTCGGCCTTATTAATACTTTTCTTAGCCGCTCCAATAGCGCAGGGGTAACACGTCGGAGTACCGACCGAGAGATTGTCGGTGCGAATCCCCACCAAGGGGCAAAGTAATTTTTTAGATAAAAAGTCGGCCGCATTCAGATGTTTTTTGTTACAATCTTTCGCAATGCTCTACACCAGGGGTTCTCAAACTTTTTGGTCTCACGGAACACGAGGAAGCCCCAAAAACTGTTGCAAACCCCCCCCTCCCTCCCCCCCTCCATATTTGCCGACCGAGAAGCAACACATGGACAATTGTTGGCAATTTTGCTTGTGTTGCTTCCCATATATCCCCACCATATCAGTCGCAATGTCAGTACAAAGTGAGATGAAGGCGCTTTGCATGGTCGTGCCACGCAGCCTGCGGCGGGGGAAGGGGGGGTTGCAATTTGGGTGTTCGCGGAATCCATGAGACCAGCTCGTGAAACCCCTGTGTTCCTCGGAACCCAGTTTGAGAACCCCTGCTCTACACTAATGGTTCTCAAGTGTGGGTCAGTGGACCCTTTGCGGCCCCAGAAGGCCTTCTTCGGGATCCCAAAGCCCCGAACCTTCAACCAAGCCGAGCAATCGCTTTTTTTTTTTTTTTTTATGTGCTGGCTGTTTTATGAAGCCAAATAGACCAAGCTGTGCTTCCCTTGCCTGGTTGATATTCTCTGTTTCAGAGCTTGGTTTGTGAGCATTTGGTTTTCTTAATTTCCTCATTTGTCATTGTAACGTAATACCCACCCCTCCACACCGGTAGATGGGGTCCCCCATCACTTGCGCCGATCCAGAATGGGTCTCCAAACCACGAGTGGTTGAGAACCATCTCCGTAAAATGCGTGAATAGTCGAAATATGCACGGACCGTCCCCAGAAAGACGACAGAAGGGCTTTGTGCGGCGCAGGTGCGGAGGGAGTCCTGCAGGCGATGGTGCTGAGCCTGGGGGCCTTCCTGTTCAAGGACAGCCACCTGGAGCTGAACACGCAGCCCAAGGACCTGCACCGGGAGCTGTTCTTCCGCCGCATCAGCTACGGCAACGCCACCCACCTCAACGTGAGCGTGGCACTCGGGGACGACAACAAGGCCCTGCTCCGGGTGCTGCTGGACCGCAGTGACCGGGACTACTACGCCTGCGACGGCGGCTGCCTCGACCCCCCCGTCAAGCTCGAGTGAGCCCGCTCTCCCTCGCCCTGCCTTTTTCTTTTGAGTCGGGCTGTTGCGCCATCAAATTTACTTACTTTGTACGAGGAGCAGTCGTCATAACAGAAGTCTGTCGAGCCTGTGCTGGAACGGTGACGCTCAAAAAATGGGGAAGTATCGCGAGTATTCGATAGATGGTGCCAGTCTTGGTAAGCAAGCACAAGCCTGGCCAACACACTCGGTTGCAACCAAACATGTGCCTTTATAGGGCCAGCATGTCCAAGCTTCCTGCGAACGGTGTGTTAGTATCCGCCCATGCTTGCGAATCCCGGCCAGAAATGGCCTCGCAGAGGCCAACGCCACCAGGGACGTCGTAAGGCGGGAATGGAGGGAGCACCTCCTTGGACGTTCCAGGCAGCACAGCCTCGGTCGCCGACCGTCTTTCCTTGGTGTGCGCAGCGGGAAAGTGAAATACCACGAGGATTTTGCGTAGCACCAAAGTGGCGCAGGAGCCAGGGACACGGCTGCAAAAGGAGTGCTTAGCGGCTACGGGAAGTCAGTTGTCGTTATGCGGTGGCCAGTTTGGGCACCAGTTCACAAACAATCCATTGGGCACGTAATGCGCGCGACAGGCTATGGATTCGGGCGTACGCGAGAAAAAACATTCTAAATGATTTGAAATTCCTTTAAAAGGGCACTTTGACATTTTCTTCGTAGTCTCCGACTTGCCCAAATTAATTTTTTTTTTTGCAAAGTAATTGAATTTACAGTTTTGGTGCTCACCGTGTTTTTTGAAGTGAAAGTCTTTACTGGCAACAATGAAAAAATGATGCCACAGGAAGGCAAGGGTTCACTCTTTGTGCCGTAGACATTGTTTGCAACTGATAATGAGCAGTTTCACGGTGCTGCATTGATTCTTTGAAAGCTCGCTCCAGCACCCGCACGACAGCACGAAGCAAATGCTTGGCCTGCAAGCCTGCCTTTCCCCGACGTCACGCCACTGAAGTATATTTGAATGTTGACTTTGGTATAATTTTTACTCGCCGATTTCACAGGAACTATTTAGATTTGTGTGATGCTAAATAACATACTGGGAAGAGGCCGGTGATTCCGAAAATATAGTTATTTGGTGTAGGTAAAAAAATGTCTGTAGTCCTTCTTTATAAAATGGCAAGGACAATCCCGTTTCTTGAATGTAGAGTGTGTTACAGTAAAACCTCGTTATAACAAAGTTGTCGTAATTATTTCGTTATAACCATTAGTTTGTTATAGCCAATGTCCATTTCTTCACTATTAGCAAGCAAGGGGAATTACGATTGCTTTGTTATATCCATTAGTTTGTTATATCCCATTTTGTTATAACGAGGTTTTACTGTATTTGGCTGGCTCCTAGGATCGGTAGCTGCGTGCATTGACACGCCGCAGCTTGGAGCACGTCGAGCATGTTGCTCGTTTGTTTCCATTTTTCTTATTATTAATAAATTGACGGATGAAATGAGCAAAAGCTTGCACTGCCAAACACTGGGACCCTAGGTTTAATCCCCGTGCCAGTTTCAATGTGGATGAGCGTCGTGCCGGCAAACGCACAGTGTAATCGCTACTCCACGATGCACGCCCCAGACACGAGGTTAGAGGTCGTACCGCACCAGCTAAATTTGTACGGCAGAGATGCGGCCATTGGGGCCGACCGACTTCCTGCTGGGCTTTGCTAGCAGTGTCCCGTAATGCCCGGAAGAGAATGCGTGAGCGTTGGACCGGTCTCCTCACTGAAGGAACACGAGTCCCGGTCGAAGGCCGGTGCAGCGGTCCGGTGGGTGGAAAATCTGGCAGCCCGCTTGTGGAGGAGATGGAGAGACTGCTCGAGCATTAGCTTTGCCAGAGCTTTCTTTCCGAGGCACAGGATACTTGGCGAGTTTTTCTTTTTACCGCCGTCGGAATTTGCCCCTGCCTGTTTTGGTGCGGACAAGCGGCGAGGGTCGTACCGGCTCTCGCTGCTCGTAATTACTGTGCAATGCTTATTGGCTCTACTGCACCGGGCGAATTGCTCTTCTAGAGGCGTTGCCAACCTCGGGGCACACGAAAAAGATCATCCTCTCTTTTCGTGGCTGCCGACCGTGCGTAATTCCGTGCACCGGGCAGTTGGATGCGTCGACGGACCAAGAGGACCGAGGGCGGCACCTCCTTTCTAGCAATATTGACAGCTGCGACGGAGGCTTCCCTATTTTCAACGCTCAGATTTGCAGACTAGAGGTATCCACTTTCGTCTTAAATGAGGGCTGTGAAGGACGATCGAGTTCAATGACTCGTTTGAAGCCGTTGACACTTCCAAGTTGTGTTCTCCGAGTCAATACTTGAAGGGACACTGACCCCCTCCCTTTCCCAAAGGAAAAAAATTAAAAATTTCATATTTTTGGTTAGGCTATTCATTATGGTGTCCAAAGACTGCCCAGTGAATGTTTTGCTACAGAGTTACATACAGAGTCGCGCATAATCAAGTCGAAATATGCAACTGCTCGAAACCGAAACTGGACTGGGGAGGAAGAAGAAATGTAGAGGAGGAGAGAGTTGCCAGAAGTCACGTGGTTGTGCAACCTTTTTTTTCTTCTTCATTCAACATATTTGCAGCTATTTAGAAGCCACTAAAATAGGTATAATATTTTTTGTCTATTTTTAGTATTGAATGTGTGCCTTGAATGACCCACGACTTTAATTATTTTTGGTGGTTGTGTCTCAACCATAAAAAATGGCACATGACCACAGAGATGAGAGTGAGTGCAACTTAAACCGGCCAGTTCTCGATCGGCGGTTTTCAGATGGAAAGAAAACAAATTTCGAGCCACGAATTGTGTTCTGGTAGTTAAGCTCTCATATGTCATGTTCAAATAAAAACCTTGGCCACCATAAATACCCCGTCGGTGTCCCTTCAACGCATCTCCGAGTTTGTACGATGTACCGACTGCCGCAGCTGAGGGGAATTGAATAAACCTTTGTTTCTGCGCACCCTCCAATCTTTTTGGCTTGTTTAACATTGCACCTTCTGGAAGAGTCATTTTCATTTACCTTTTTGCACATCTGCTTAAGGTGCATACGAGACGAAAAAAGCCTGTTCATGTCGAACTTGGACGCGATTCAGTGAAACCCGTTTAGAACGAACCCACGTACACCGAATTATTGTCGATGTCGAACTCGCGAAAAATTTAAATAAAAATGCACGTAAAAAGTACTTTTTATGACGAATAACATATTGGCTATATCGAACTTTTTCTCACCGAGAAGGCTTTCAAAGAGGCGACAACAATCGTCTTCTAGCCTGCCCCTTCCCCCCCAAAAAAGTAGGAAAGAAAAAAATTCCAAAAGCTCAAGTTGCAAACAAACTTGCGCGAAGAGAAGCGATTCAAAGGGGAGAAAGCAAAAAATAATCTCCGCACGCACGCGCATAAAAAAAGGAACTTTTCATCCCAAAAGGGCTGACCACGAAGAGAAGCGATTCGGTAGGGGAGGTGAGCTAAAAAAACAAACTCTGCACACATGCAAAAAAAAAAGAAAAAAAACTTTCCAGCGCATTGTTACAAGGCGGAAGCGAAGAGATGAGAAAGAGAAGCTATCGCCTTACAACGAACGCATCGTAAAAGTTGGTTGTAAATGTTTTTTCCTATATCGAATTACTTGCTGCATCGAACTGATCGTAGCGTTTCCTGCTGTTCATTATAAACGGGTTTGACTGTAAATCTTGACCGGCGTCCAGAATTCACGTATCTATTCATACGTGAATTCCTAATATCTCGTATCTATTGACCAACACACTCGTTTTCAATACCTATTATTAAATGTGCAGTCATACCTGGTGAGTTGTATTTAGATGAGGTTTCGAGCTCTGGTGGAAGGCCGTAGTGTGCTGTGGGATTTGTTGTCGTAGGCTTAGTCCGGGAGTGGATAAGCAGACGGGGACGAGCAGGGCTCTGAGCAGACGGCCCCCTTTGCCCAGCTTCAAGCCCAAGCAGTTCCCGGTGAAGTTGACGGCTCCCGTCACGGCGGTGCTCTACATTACCTCGGACAGGGACCACATGGAGGAGCTCAAGCACACCATCCATGTGCAGGAGGTGGTCGAAGGTGGGCACCTCCGTCCTTGCCGCTCAGACTGCGCCAAAAGCCTGCTCCGTGTCCATTTTGACCAAATTCGAGCAATTTGCACCAACATTGTGCCAAAAGTCGCTTGAAATACTCAAAATATAATAGCCCCACTGCGCGGCCAGATGATTACTCGTGCAAATTTTCTTAATTTCGATCTTAGCATCAAGTATTGTACCGTTTGATTTTATCCCCACCAAACACTGACGGTACTCGCAAGTTCCACAATATTTCTCACGTGCGTGGTCTGTTCTGCCAGGTTAGCTAGTTTCATTGAATTCACTTCTCGCCGCACACTGATATACTGCAGTAAAGCGACAAAGTGGACATTGCAATTTCGCACATCTTGTTTCGCCGCAGTGCACCCGCGTGCTCAGGGGACTTTACGCGCGATTTCTGAATAAAGCTGCGGCTATTATGTGTACAGGGTGTTCCTTCTTAAAGTAAAACTGAAGCGGTTCTGCATTTGAGAAAAAACACTTCAATTGTCTTTATCTGGCCTCCAGGATCACAAATGTCAAAGTTATATTTCAGATTGATGTGCCAAGTAGCCGCAAGAGCGCTTTAAAAACAGCGCCAAAGTCTTGCCTCCTTCCCGGCGTACTCCACGAAGGTATCGCGAGGTTATGCAGAGATGTCGAGATTCCCCCGCCTTCCGCACGCCTTACCCGAGCAGTCGCAAGCTCCGCACACGTACCATCGCAACCGGCACGCGCGAGGCAGTTGAAACCTCTGTTTCATAAAAGTTGTGAAAGCTAGACTAATGTGGCTTGTGCAGGCAAGTTATATGGCCATGGGAGACGTATGGATATACATATTGTTTAGGAGCCTAATTGTAACAATCAGTTTAACTAAAATAAGCTGACTAATGTTTTCATTATTGAAAATAAACATACAGTTCTAATTAGAAACTTGCTTTGTGGAAAATCAGACAATATTGGAAAGCGTGGTGGAAGTCGTGCAGCTGGAGCAAGGCTTCCGGTGTGATAGGGCTCTTATCCTAGCCCCAGCCAGAGTGTTGACTTTAGCGCACTGCTCCCATGAAATGACTGATTCAATGGTTTTTGGTGATGCTCATCATGTTTCTTGGAACCACATGTCTAGCTTCGCTAATTAAAAGTTAATTTAGCCCCCTATATTATGTCCCCCCGACCATAGAACTCGCACGCACAAACCGCATTAGTGTAGCTTTCGCGGCTTTTTTTACACAAATCTGCTAATTAGCGGAAAACAAACAGCGCAAGGACAAGGACAGAGTAGAAGGCGGTAGACACACACAGCACTGACTTACAATTGAGCTTTATTGGCACTGACAATCTGTATAAATACACAATTTGCCCTGCCCAAAAGCCAAGAAAAGAAACAACACAAGAGGAGGACTACACGTGTTCCTAGAGTCATCTGCAGGTGCCGTTGCTCTCCGATCTGAGTAGAAACATACACTCCTTTTCCGTCAAGGCAAGTGACGGGGCACTAACACACTCAGAGCCCAATTGTCCAATGGCGCGGGCTTCTATAATCTCACGTGTCAGTTTATCTTTTTGTTTTCTGATGATCGTGCATCGTTCAAAAAACGGATTACATCCACCGGAATCGCGGCAATGCACCCCAAGGTGCCCCGACACAACCTGAGACAGATTATAACGATGCTCTCTTAAACGCTCATTAAGACAACGTCCTGTCTGCCCTATGTATCTCCGGCCACAGGACAGGGGAATAGAGTATACAACACCCGCAACGCATGTAACAAACTGGCTTTGGTGTTTCTTGGTGCACACCTGTCTCTCTATTACATGAGAGTTCACTCTTTTGCACATCATAGATAGCTTGTCTGGAGCCGAAAAGACCACGTGAACACCAGCTCGACGTCCCACTTTCTTCACATTATGGGATATTTTGTGTAGGTACAGTAGTACTGTGATGTTCCTGTTTTTCCTGTTAACTTGTTCAGCATTCTCAATGCGTCTTCTCTTTAGTAGAGTTTCTGCAACTGCCGTTAGGAGGCGCAACGGGTAGCCCGCCGCCATGAGCCTCGCTACTTGATTCTTAAAGCTATCCTTGACTAAGTGAAAGCAGGATTTATTAAGGGCGTTCTTAAAGCAAATGTTGATGATTCCTCTTTTTACCAGTTTAGAGTGGGCAGACGAAAACGACAGGAGGGGTTTATTACTCCTTGGTTCATAAAGCCAGCAGGTGTGTGTGGGGAGACACTGCAGCCTAAGGTCTAAAAATCTTATGGAACCGTTTACTGGTAATTCGTACGTGATAACCAGTGGTTCCAAGCATTTACTAAAAGTGGCCAAAACTTCAGAAATTTCGCCAGCAGAGTGGTCTGAGTCACAGTCAACAAGCACTAAGTAGTCATCTACAAACCTAAAAACCTTTTTTACCCTAGAGCCTTCAAGTCTGTTAGATAAAATTCTGTCATAAAATGCAAGATAAATGTCGCTCAACACGGGAGCTAAACAGGAACCGATGCATATGCCGTTTTTCTGAATGAAAGTTTCTCCATTCCAAGTTGTAAACGTCGACTTGAGGTAAAAGGTTAAAAGCTCCAAGAAGTCTCTTACCCCCAGACCACATTCATTTTGAAACGCTACACACCCGTGGTTGTCAATACACCCTTCGACGCACATTAAAAGCTCCGTGTATGGAATCGAGTAGTATAAGTCCTTAATGTCTACAGAACATGCTGAGAGGCATTGGTCAGGGCATTGTTTAAGGAAGTCTATTATCTGCTCCGAGTTTTTTTACCTGAAAGGGATCGTCAATAACTAAAATGTTCAATTTCGTTTGTAAAAACATGACCACCGACTTCTGCCATGTTCCAATTTCCGATACTATAACGCGTAGCGGACAGTTGGCTTTGTGCGTTTTAGCTGAAAAAAACAGATCCAGATTCAGGCCTCTGCCCTTATCGACCGCTAGGGCTAGTTTATCTAAACTCGGCCGTTTGCAAAGTTTACGTGCTTCAATTTTTACTTTTGCTAGGGACACGTCATTCCTGCGTACAAAAGTGGCCTCTATAGCGTCTAAAGCTTTCAAGTTGAGCATGCCTTTGGGTAATACTACAAAGCCCCCCTCCTTATCAGCAGGTAACAAGGGCAGGGCGTTATCCAACAGAACAACGGCGCCTGCAGATAACTCTAGGAACACGTGTAGTCCCCCTTTTGTGTTGTTTCTTTTCTTGGGTTTTGGGCCGGGCAAATTGTGTATTTATACAGGTTGTCAGTGCCAATAAAGCTCAGTTGTAAGTCAGCGCTGTGTGTGTCTACCGCCTTCTACTCTGTCCTTGTCCTTGCGCTCTTTGTTTTCCACTATAATATGAATGACCAATTAGCCCAATCATCAACACTACTGAAAATCTGCTAAGCCTAAAAAGAAACACCCTGTACCGCAATATTCCGACGCCAAGTTTGAGATTTAGCGAGGATAATTGAGTATCGCTGAACGATATGTATGAACTGCTCTATACGTTTATTTTTCATTCATTTTTTCGTTCAATAGTGGTTTATTGCACTCCCGAGTAGGCCTCCTAGCAACGAGGAAAGGCAGGTTATCGATGTGCAGTGTGCCCATGTCGTTCACCTGGAGGCAGTTTGATCTGTTTACAAAAAAGGTGATGATGACGATTTATGGGATTATGATGGGAAGAGGGTGAGGAGTGTAGGCCTGTCTTTGTGGGGCTGCCATGGGCTGCAGACTTGTAGCAGGCCCGTCGGAGCGCCTGGCGACAGCTCCCTCCGTGCCCAGCTTGCGGACGAGTCGGTCGTATTTCCGGCGATGCACCCCCGTAATGGTGCTCCAGGGGTTGGCACCAACGTTGGCCGGGCGGTGGTCCTCGTGAAAGCTTGTAACCGAGCAGCGTGAGCACCCCGTCAATTGGTGACGCAGTGTGTGCCACCGGGCCGGCTGGCTCTTAGACGATGGAGAAAGCACATTTTACGCCAAGCTGGCTTCCTCTTCCCCTCAATGTCAATTCTCTTGTTTGGTTATTACCTTTATATATCTAGAGTACAATGAAACGAAATTGGCTGGAGCAGTGGATGGCAACCTGGAAATATCCTTAAAGACTGATGACCAGTTTGCGCTTTTCACTTTTCCCCCACTGCCTCCTCTCCCCCCTTCTATCCTATCCACCGTTTCCTCCTCCCCGATTGTGAGGAGGATCTTCTGCCTTGCAGAATCTTGGGTCTGGTCGTCGGCCTTTACCCAGTTGGCTGGGATTATTTTTAATCATTCACGTGCCAATTTTTGTGATAATAAGTTCTATATATCAAATCTTATTGATGTTTGTAATCAAATACAAAATCTTTTTCTTTTTTTTTTTTTAATCTTATATTTAAGAACTGCAGTTTTATTAGAACCTTAACATTAGAACAAAACATCAATTTAGGTGCTGTAAATTATTCTATTTTAACATTATTTTGGTCAAATATACTATTTTCTTTACCCTTGATTCTGTACGAAAAATAACCTTGAACTGCAGTTCATACTGCCTTTCGTCAGTCAGCATCTTGTTGATGTGTTTAGTGCTTCTACGCGCAAGTAAGCTGCTTGTTTTGCATTGGAAACAATCAAACCTGCCGTGCAAATGACAAAAGGCTTCACGAAAAAGGAAAAGCAAAGTAGACATTGTCTTTTGGTTTGACAGACCGACGCACAAATGGTGGTATTTGCAGTAGTTAAATGAAAATAAAGCGCACACTTATGGTCCAAAAGGTGCTCCATCCAAAATGACTCGTAGCAATTGGCGGTGGAATACTATTTGTATTTAAAACTGAGAATGCATTTTAGCGGCGGCGTAATGCTTCGAATTTATTTGGCACAACTAGCATCACTCAACCTAGGCTAGGAAGACTTTGGTCGACGAACTTGGCAATATGGGGCTGCAATACTACACCTGCGAGAATGCAGAATTTTTAGCGGAGTGCTTTATGTGCACCGAAAGGCAAGAAATGGCTGTGCAACGGTTGCCATTTTCCCAGCGAGTTCCTTCTTTTTGTCGCGCGTTAAATGTATTATGGTCGCGCTTGAAAGTTGCAGGGTGGGGCTTACAATCTCGACGCCTGGGCGGCAAGTGATTAGCTGCGTAGTTATGGTAAGAAGGCACTTGTTTGCACCCAGCCTTTGGGCCTGACTTTAGGAAGTGTTATTTGCAGCGCCGGCGCACGAGCACCACGTGATAGCGTTGCACCGGCACGGACACCGCCTGGGCGGCCTCCCGGCGCTCTTCTGGGTCTCCATCACCTTCCTGATCGTCGTGTTCCACCTGTTCCTCGCCAAGCTCATCTACAACGAGTACTGCGGCGCCCCGGAGAAGACGCGGGCGCGCTACGTCGTATGATCCCACTCGTGCCTCCGGAGGAGTCGGGATTGCCAGCCAGGGAACGTTCAAGAGCCTCGGTTCGGGACACCCCGAGAACGCCCCCGGACAGTCGATTTGCTCTCGGAGGTCGGAACGTGATTCGCTCGACTGAGGCTAAGTGTTTGGGCAGGTGGCTCGGCCACGTTCCTGGAACGCACCTCGGATTTGCTTGCACTGCCCAGCGACGTCTCTGCTAGATGGCATAGGATTGTTGCGGCACTCCGTTTGCCCCCCAAACCCGGTGAAAGCTACGCGCTCATTGGACCGGTCGTACGTCTTGTGCCCCGTGATTGCCCTCCCAGCCGTATTTACTCACAGCGAGCAAGGTCGGGCGGCAAAAGGGAGGCAGTCGACGGGTCCGGCGAGCGCGTAGCTTCTGCCGCGCCGTCGGTTCGGGGGTGCGTCGTGGCAATGGGCGGCCAGACTCGTTAAATCGTGACCCACCCACCAGCCGGGGTTCCTCGTTACGTCCACGCAGCCTCTACCACCGAAACGGTGGCCAGAGATGCGTTCCAGGCACCCTCCTTCGTCCAAGTTAATCCAGTTTTTAGAAAGTGCCGCCATTGTCAGATTATGCACCCGTTCAATATCCGAGTTGATGAGAACGGCAGGAAGAAGTTTGGTCTTGTGTCTGGTGAACCCGAGCCAAAGCGTGACGTGACTGGAGGCGTTCCAAGGACACTCCCCGTCATTCTGGGATTGTCGGCAACTGTAATTTGAATCTGCACGTGGCCTCCCCGACTGTTTTTCTTTTTTGTGCGGTGCTTCGTAGAGCGTGCGATTTCCGCTGCGCCGAGACTGTGTACATAACCTTTGGTGGCATTCTTACAGTGTGCCGTAACGTGGTGTCGCGGACAGCCTTCAAAGTTGCAACATTGTTTGGCATTTGGTCGAATGCGGTACACTTTCGGTCGACAATGTTTATCCGGAGGATTGTTTGTTTGGAAGAGCTTTAGGCGCGCGGGACGTTAATTGGGCAAGTGCGAGTCGGCGACGCAATGCCCAATCAAAAGCTATATGCAATAAAGTGATTTAGCGAATGGTCGTAGTCCTAAAGCAATGTTTTTTTCTGTTTCCCCTCGGAATGATTGCGGTGAATTTGGAGGTGGGCATTTATAACGAGACGTTTTGGCATGGGTTACTTTTGTGGGGGTTGGCGCTTACGTGCCTGTAATTATGGGCAACTTACGTCTCATTTTGTACATAGCCTTAGCGTTTTTGTTTAAGGGCCAGAAAGGTGCTGTGCGAAGTGCACAGTTCTGAGCGTCGCAGAATTGCAGCCAGATTTCAGGTTACCGTGAAAGGGCAATGCTGCCATCGTGTTTTTTTTTAAACTGTTTGATAACGAGTTTTTGTGCCTTCCAGTTTAAAATGTGCTTCCTTCTTTCCTTGTATGTATTGAAAGGGAATGTGCCCGATTAAATAATGTAATTTGTTTAGAGACAAACGACAACTTTGAAAAATGTCATGACCAGCTTTCTTCTGGAAAAAAAAAGGCTCTGTGGCTTTATTCGCAATATGTGTACATAGGTAAGGTTGTGGAGGTGTAGCACTTGACAGTGGCGAGCCAAAGAGTGCAAAGTCATGATCAGCTGTTTTGTTTTTTTCCTTCGTGTGAATGTGGTCGCCTGGTTTGTGCTTGATGGGTACTCTGTATGTTTGTGGGTAACCCATGTAAATAACTGCAACATTATGTGGAAGCGGTGACGGAGAGTTCCTTTCATGAGCTGGCTCAATAAAATGTGGACTTATTTATTCCTGCAGATGGCCTCGGATCCCTCGTTTCCAAACAGTTACCACTCGTGACAACACTCAACTTCCAAAAAAATCTTTGTGGCGCAGGCTACGTCCAGCCGCGTGGATGTATCCGAGTCGGGAAAAGTACCGGCTCCATCCACACGTCCGTACGTCACTCTGGGGTGGATGTAGATGTAGTAACTTAATGGCAGAGCCAGAGTATTGCCTTCCTTTCGCCGCCAACTCCTCATGGGTGGAGAAAGGGTCGCATGCGGGAAATTCTACTTTCGCGCTTCCGGGGAAGTCGCCTTGCCCGGGATTGGGGCAGACATTTTTTGCTCCGCATTTGCAAAATCTAGATCTCACAATTTGAGCCACGTTGATACCGTTGCACTCGAGACGCAATTTGTAGCAGAAAATCTGCTCGTTTTTTTTATTCCGCTAGGTACAAATGAGATTTAGCGGACGATCCTCCGTCGCCTGCCCCTCGCCTGAGCGACGGGCTTGCATTCTGGCGCCTGCTCTGGGTGCAGCGGGTGCATGCACACGTGGAGTGCCAGCCCAACTCTCTCCATGCTGCCAGCAGGCACGCCACACAAGCAGCGTGCACAAATGAAACCTGTCGCGTGCATGTGCTAACCATATCCGGTTGCCGGCGAAGCGATAAAAATCTTCCTTAGTGGACGCAGGTCTATCAAGGGCAATTGTTATACATGCCGTGAAATACCGGGCAAGCGCCCATTAGAAATTTAGAGATAATCGCAAAAACATGGGGGATGGAGCTTGTCCAGTCATCAATTTTACATATACCGTAAATGTACTGTGCATATTTTCTCAGATCTTGCATATTTGGGAATGGGCGGATGCGCGGTATTCTACGGTAGATAGTGTTTTTCGGCGTAAATTGCGCGGCACTGTTGGCGCGTACGAGTGATCTCTGGTTCTTCCAGTTTTTCTCTTCAAATCACTGCACAAAAATGGGTATGGTGGAAAGTCTTCATCGAGTGCAGTAACCTTGGTGTCCGCCAATATTCCGTGCGAGCAAAAATGCGAAAAAGTGCCGATGTCGTGTCTGTGCTAAAACAGTGTTGGGCAGTATGCAACCGTTTTTTTGCGGAATAAATGTGACGGCAGAATTCCATCTGGTTGAGTAGTTGCATGCAGCAAGCTGATGATCGAAAGAAATTTTCAAATTTATTTTTCTATTCTAACTGCGTGTTGTGAACAGTATTATTTAGGTCCAACCTCATTGAGGTTCTTCACATACTTGTGAAGCACGGCCTCTCGACATTGCCCACCTTCAGCGACAAACCCACGAAGAGCTGTGATCTGTTTTGAGGTAAGCTGGGTAAGCTGCGACTGTCCCAAGTTTTGGAAAATCTCAGTCTGCCCTCACCCCAGCCCCATCTTTTTTCTCAAAAAAAAGGAAAAAAATGGGCATGCCAAACTGAACAAACATGGAGTAAGAAACATTGAAGAGGAGGACAAACGCTGTAAAAATAAAAACTGAGGAGGGGTTTATGACGGATTCTACGTACGTGGTCACGTGATTCGTTTTCACGTCACTGCCTCTTACTGGCAAGCAAAAAAGGCATAAGCCCAGGCAGCGCCTTAGGCAATGGCTTCGTATAGTTATAGGCTCATTCGATTTACCTGTACTTCCTGCACCGGTGCAGAAAAGTCTAGGGCAGTGTACTTGCAGTCGTATCGCACATACCGGGAGCACACTGCTCTGCATGTCTCTCTCCACCGGTGGAGGTGGTGCAGGGAAATGAACGAGCTGCGTGCTAGAGGTTCACCGCTAGGGTTCTTTGGGACAAAGCAAGCGAAGCCGCAGCCAGGAAGACGAAGCAACGAGGGTGTCATGACGAACCCGCAACTTTTATTCCCGAGCGTGAAGAGCCAAAATCCCTCCCATGTGTATGCGCTTATCTACATTGGGCATCTAGAAAACAATATCAGGGTGGAGACCCCTACATCTCCCCCCGAATCTAGTTACTGTACACACAGTTCCAAAAAAAAGCGTTGTTTACAAGTCCAACCGTCTTGGCGGCCTGATGACACGTACATAGCAAGACCTTGAGGCATCTTGCGGGGAAGATGCACAATCCAGAGAGGGCGAAGACCAGCTCGCAGTTGACAACTCCCCAGGCCGATCTTTTTCAGGTAGTTGTCCTAAAAGCTCCTCGAGAGCAGGAAGCGCAATGGACACTAGCTGTAACGAAAAGGGCACCAGGTGCCGGCGGTTGCGCTGCAGGATTCCCTTGGGCGTCTCTACGACGTACAATCGTTGGGCAAGGCTCAGGACGCGTGCTTGAAAACTGGCATTTGTGACGCTGTCACCCGGCTTGAGAGGACCAAAAGCGTTGTGGCGGCGGTTGAAGTCTCTCACCTGCCGGACCTTATGTCAATTTAGCCCAGAACCTCTCGTGGCTAGGCTGAACTGGTGGAAGCTGCTGCCGCAGGTAACCGCCTACCCAACATGGCAGGAGAAACTCCTGCGACGCTTGGAGTGTCCCAGTACATGAACACTCACTCAGTAAGGGTGCTCGTACTTGTACAAAAGATTCTTCACTGTGTGCACCATGCGCTCTACTGCGCTATTACTCTGTGGGTACCGAGGGCTGTCTCATGCTCAAAACCATACGACAGAGCAAAGTTTGCGAATTTTTGTGAAGCAAACTGCGGACCATTGTCTGTCCACACAACATCCCATGGCGGGAAAAGCAGCTCTTGACAGCCGCGACTGAGGCTGACGTAGAGCCCAGGGAGGCGATTTCTGGAAATCTAGAGTGTACCACGAGAACATAATCACGGCCTTTCAGCTGAAACAAGTCAATGGCATTGCCATGGCCAATCCGGTGTAGGCGTTGACATCAAAGGCTCCGAGTGTACAACCCTTGTTTCCACACACTTGTCGCAGATGTTCGATGTGACTGTTGCAGTTGGGCCACCAGACGCTTTCTCTGGCTCTCGTTTCAGTAGCAAGTGACGACAGCCATTAGGGACCTTAAGGTCCCTAATGGCTGTCGTGCAGAAGGGCCAGGACGTTACTACGCAGAGCAGCAGAAATTACGACATGGCAGTCCAGCAGAGGGCCCTCGGGGACTGTCAACCTTTTTCTCTCTTTCCAATTCCGGTACCTACTGGACGCCCGAAGGAAGCTGCCTCCACGCTGGGAGGCAGCTTCCTTTGGTCTAGCCATCCTTCTTGGCAGCAGCAGACGATGAGAGAACATTCTCCGTCTTCAGCTCGTAGTCGACGAACCTTGTCCAGCCGGTTAGCGAGGGGAGGTGGAAGACCTTTACAAACCTACAAACTATGAACTACAAGCTAGGGTCTGCACCAGAGCCACCCGGTAACTACACCCATTGCAACACTATCCTGCCAAAAATTTAGACGCAGCCCTGTCACGTCCCCATACCTCAGACGCCCCGTGGCCTACGCTAACCCTACTCCCACACCCCTACCATTATTTCAATCTACCTCCACTAAAGTCACTGGGTCTGGGAAAGCAATGTCATTGCCTTCCCACCTGCTAGCCGGACACAAAAAAATACCAACATACGGAGGACAAAACCTCATGCTGATTGGCTCATCGCTGTCGGTTGCAATGGTGACCGCCATCACTGACATTGCAAGTGATGGCAGTACGAAGATGTACGGCATCGCACGCGGCGTCGGTATTTGGGGGCATTGAAAAATAATTTTACAGTCTTGAAACTCGCAAGAGCAACATAATTCTAAGAGATCTGGGGAAGTAAGCATGAGTGGTAAGTTTATTAGGGTACGTTGTTGGGCTAGTTGGTTCATCTTAGTAAAACCTATAAAATAGTAAAGTAAAGGTAAGTTTATGGCATGCACAGTGCCAAAGATGATCGTATTGGCCGAGGAATGCTTTCAGTACGATGATGCTCCAGAGCGATCTTGGTGCGACTGGTTTTAACGAACCTTTCGAAGCTTTGAAAGGAAATGGCGATCACCATGGCAACCGGCAGGGATGAGCCAATTGCCTTGAGAAGTTTTGTCGTCTGTTTGTTGCTGTATTTGTTTCTGTCTGGCTAGGAGGTGGGAAGGCAATGGTGCTACTTTCCCAGGTCCGGCGACTTTAGCCTCTACCCCATATATGCAAAAGGAAAAAGATTGAGGTACACCTAAGCACTTCTTACGAGTTGTGAATGCGAAAGCATGTACATCAATCTTGTAGATAGTTGAGCGTGTCGGTGTCTAATTTACGATAAGGAAAGAGGGACATTGAAGACAAATTCAGACAAGACAGGCTTTCGACTTTTGCTGTTGACGTGCTGACTGGCGCTAACTAAAGCCCCTCCATCCTGGGAAAAATGGCGAAACTGACGCGCAGTTTCAACGACTGGCCACCCCATGGCGCTGCGCGTCCAGCAAATGGGACGCGCAGCGTCCCATTTGCTGGACGCTTTGGGACGGAACAAATGAACTGCGATCATGAAGGCATGAGGGATGAAATCCCGCATTTAGAAGATGCCCCGCAGAGTACCACAGTCGACCAAAATGCAAGAGTCGTGGGGTGTGTTCAGGTAGAACGTGCACTGGCGCGGCTAAACGGCAGCACAGCACAGGGGCTGGATGGAATCTCCGCCAAGGTGCTCAAAGGTTTAGGACCCGACGCACGAGAGCACCTGGCACACCTGTTTAGTCAAATCTGCTGCGGCGATGACCCGATTCCCAACGACTGGAGGCGTGGTCGAGTTTCCTTCATTCCAAAGACAGGCGGCAACAAGCAGTTGTTACACGACTACCGACCACTCACGGTCACGCCGGTTGCCTACAGGGTGTTCGCGACCATAATTAATGGGCGTATAACACAGTGGGCCGAGGAGAGCGGCATACTGACTGAGTTGCAGAACGGTTTTAGACGTGGGCGACGCTTGGAAGATAATCTTTTTACGTTGACGCAATGCATCGAGATTGCACGGAGGGAGAAGCGACCACTGATTACTTGCTTCCTTGATATAGCGAAAGCATATGATTGCATTCCTCATACCAT